TGGCCCAGGCTACCATGATCAACTCCTGCAGTCGCCTTCTGACCACCAGAGTGGTTTACTGTCTTTGTGGAAGTCAGAAAAATTTGAAACATGCACCAGGTTAAGCTTCTTCTCTGCCTAAAAACTCTAGTTTACTCCCAGTAAAATCCTAGTCCTAATGTGGCTTGAAGGCCCTTCCTGTCTGACATCGTATTCTGTTGTCCTGCTTCCCTCAGTCTGCTCCTTCCTATTCCTGATATAACCCTGCCAGGTTCCCACTCCACAACCTTTGGACTTACTGTCTTTTCTGTCCAGTATAGTTTTCCTTCATATATGTTTAAGTGGCTCAGTTCTCTTTATCTCTGGCATATTTGTAGTATCTAGTATAGTACTAGCACTATGTAAAAAGTTGCTATACTGTTCTGTTTAGAAAAATTTTTTAAAAGGTCTAAAGCCTGCATATGTTCAGTCTAGGTGAACCATTACTGATCGAGCCACACTTTCAGTTGTGGTTGGCTGACTGTGGATGTGGAGCCCAGTGGTAACAAGGGCCAGCTGTATAGATACTTTGGTGGCACAACTCTATGTAGACATAAAATGTCGTCAAGGAGTCAATTATGTAAGTGCAGAAGTGTTCCTTTTATGTAGCCTAGTCAAAACAGGTTCTCAAGTAAGACACCACATGAGCAAAGACTTGAAGGGTTTGAAGAAAAAGAGATAAAGTACACAGGAGGGTAGACATGGAAGTTGTATGTGAATGCTGTGCCATTGTATATATGGACACCTGTAGGGATCCTGGAACCAATTCCCTGTAGATACAGAGGGACAACTGTATTTTGTTAGTTTATTTGTTGTCTCTTCTTGCTATGCTGCAAATGCCGTGAGAGCAGCAACTTTTAATCTGTTTTATTTGCCACACTTTCCTCAGATTCTGTACAGTGCCTGGCACATCATCGACACTCAATATTTGAATGAGGAAGTGTGCACGTGAATGGGTGAAGCATTATTGCATGTTGAGGTGGGGAATACATAGAAAAAGTATGGTTAGGAGGAAGTCAGATGTACATTTATATATAGATAGAAAGGCTCTGGAAGAATACATATGTGGCTGCAGTAAAGATAACAGAGAGGAGAAGAAAGAGGTGAGGAAAGAAACAGCATGTTCTAGTATCTGGCCTCTGCCATTCTAATGGGTAATAGAAATAGCATGTGGTTGACTGTGATTGAGCTTCCCAACTTTTAACATATGCTGTGAAATAATTTTAGCTTTCTTGTGTGCACATGGTCTTAAGTTTATTTATTTTTCTACATAATGGAAATTCCGAATTTTAATGTTCCCTTTGTAATGTTTTAATGTTATCTTTGAAGTTTCAGTAAATAACAAAATTAGTGGGGCAAAGAAAACCTCATGGTGTCAAAAGCATATGCTATTTGCTAAAATCTACTTGGTATCGATGTATTGGAAGAGCAAAAGATTTTTAGTCCAGCAATTTGTTTTCAAATATGACCATAATAAGCAGAACTCTGTAAAGTGTTCAGAATCTCTAATCTTTTTTTAAAAAAAAAAATTCTGCTATTATTTGTGAGTTTATCTAATTACATTTTTTTGAATTTATGTAACCTACAGGTGTGAAGCATCTAGTCCCCACATTCATCCCGTTGGTTGGTGTAAAGAACATAGAAGGACCCTTATTACTCCACCAGGTTTGTGTTTGTCTAGTATCATTCATACACCTCAGGAGTCAGCAAACCTTTTCTGGAAAGGGCCAGGCAGTACATATTTTTAAGTTTTCGTGCTGTAGAGTCTGTCACAACTTCTCAACTCAATGGTAGCACAAAAGCAGCCACAGGTTATAATAGTGAACAAGTGTGGTTGTGCTGTAGTCGCACAGTGTTTGTAAAACATGCAGCAAGCTTAGCTCACTGACTCCTGAGGTCCCTTCAAGTAGGTGAAGCATTGGCTAAGTTTGTATCAGTCTCAGTTTTTTTGTCTTCTTTGGAAATATAAGTTGTGCTTTCTAGGAACTATCATTTTTAACTTGAAATTCATCTCTAGGCTTTATATTAGTATTTAAAGATATTGTCTAATTTAAAGATATTGTCTTACTACAGACGTGAGTTGTCTAGGCTTGAACAAGTACAGAAAGGTGCCTGGGGGGACACAGCTCTGTGGGTGCATCATGATATTCACACCATTCATATTTTTCTTCCTTTTTATTGGTGCATTATAATTATACCTAACACTGGGCCACACCATTCATATTTAAGTGAGCACTTGAAGGTTTAAAGTTTTTACCTAGAGCTCATACATTCCCTTTTCCTTTTGTGTGTGTGTGTGTGTGTGTGTGTGTGTGAGAGAGAGAGAGAGAGAGAGAGAGAGATTTCTGGTTCAGAAATAGATTTGCACCTTATAGTAGTGGTACCTCTCTTTTCTTTGAAGTTCTCTTGTCCTCCAGCTGTCCGCCTCTGGCCTTACGGTCTTCCCAACTTACTTGCTTGCATCCTTGTTCTGTGGCATTTTGAATTTATTTTTTGTGTGCTGAAGAACAGATTCTGCAGCTTCTTTCTAGTCAAGACTGTGTTTTTGAGCACTTCGCTATGGATGGTGTCATAGTCCCTACTGGTAGGGAAAGGCAGGGTCACCGGCTGACACAAAGCCTCAGAGCACAGGAGGTGGCTGCTCAGCGGTCACAGGAAACGGGGAGGCCTAGCTTTGCTAGGAGCTGTTTTGTGAATGTGGTCCACAGTGTGTGAGAGCAGAGGTTCAGCTTGACAGCAGGTGAGAGCAGAGGTTCAGCTTGGAGCTTTAAATGCTAGTCTCGTTCCATTCTAGGGGCTGGTTTCATTTCAAGGCTTGTCCTCAGTTCCTTGATGCAGTGCCTCACTTAGACTGTCTGATCTTCTTCCTCAGGGGACCAACCATTCCTGTGGCTGGTGAGCCTAGTCCCTTCCACTTCTAAGTTTTCTGATATGTTAAAGGGAGGAAAGGAAAGCCTCTGACCTAATTTACAGGGTTGTTTTGAAGATGAAAGAGACTTAAGTTATGAAGTGTTAGCAGAAGGTGTTAGTGGTATCACTGCCCAAATATGGTGTTGCCTGGAAATGCCTGGTACTCAGCCCTCTTGTGTCCCGCAGCTTACAGAATAAGCTAGCTGTTTGCGTAGTCGTTCTCTGTCACTCTCATCTAAACTACTCTTAGATTATACTCTAGGACTCTAGATTCTAATATTTTCTAGTTTTATATCAATCCTTTCTTTCTATAACATTTTTGGTTATACTCAGAAATTTGGTAAATAAACAGTAAACCACATGTCAATAGTCTAAGAGCTTTGTGAAATAAAAGAGGAGAAAATAAATTCCGATATTTAAAAAACAAAAAACCAGTGAACAGAGGTTCCTGGTGATGTACCCTGGGAAGGGATGGTGTAAGACATTATTGCCAACTTCTTATGAGAGATTTAACACCTTTTGTGTGCTTTCATTGCCTTTTATAATTTGGAAGAAAAAGTACATGAAGCCTAATGGAATGTTCTTAAGGCCACTGAATTGGATACCTAAAAATGACTAATATAGTAAATATGGTAAATTATATGTAATTTACCACAATAAAAAATACAACCACAACCTGCAGATTATAAGAGTGGTTTACTGGGCATGTGCTGATGTTGCTCTTTGCTCCATGACAAAAAAAGACACCCTTGGTGTAAAGGAAAATTCCTGACTCATTCTCCCACCGCCTGTCTGGAAAGAAATCCTGATCAGCCAGGTGCCTTGGGCAGCTATTCTTGAACCTCCTTGGCTGCTTCAAGAATGAGTCCATCCCCTGACCAGCCAGCCCTCCTGGCCCTGTGTTACTTTTTCTGTAAACATACCTGTCTTTACTTTTTTTTTTTTCCCAAAAACTAATATCTTCACATTTTAAAATTATTTTTTTGTTATCTTTAAAAATTTTTTTTGTTCTTTTTAGATATACATGGCAGTAGGATATATTTTGACATATTAAACATACATGGAGTATAAATTATTCTAATGAGATCCCATTCTTGTTGTTGAACATGATGTGGAGTTATACTGGTTGTGAATTCATATATGAACCCAGGAAAGTTATGTCTGATAAATTCTCCTCTTTCCTCCTCCTATTCCCTCCTACTCCCCTTTGTCTTCCTTCATTCCCCTTTGTCTAATCCAAAGAACTTCTGTTCTCCCCCCTCCTCCCACCCATTGCATGTTAGCATCTGCATATCAAAGAGAATTTTTGGCTTTGGTTTTTGGGGATTGGCTTATTTCACTTTCTTTCTTAATATTTCAATATTAGTTTGTCATTAGCACTTTTCCATATGTGTGTGCTCATGTGTTTGTCTACGTATCATTATTTTTGCAGTTTTATAGATTGAACCCAGACCCTTGCACATGTTGGGAAAGCACCATACCATGGAACAATATCCCTAGTCTTTTAAAATTGTATTTTATAATAGGATCTCACCAAGTTGCTAAGACTGACCTTGAACCTTCAATCTTACTGCTTCAACCTCCCAAGTAACTGGGATCACAGGCATGAACTACCATGCCCAATTATATCAGTTTTATTTAGTAGATTATTCTGATTTAAATGCTTAAATTGTGCAAGTTAAGTTTCTTAAAACTATATTGTAAAAATGTATAGATAGAAATAGACTTGCATATGTGCTTTTAAAACATTTCAAGTGTAGAAAAGTTTCAAGAATAGTACAGAATTTACTACCCTAGCTTGACCTAGAAACTGATTCAAGTTTGTCAGTTGTCCCAATGATATCCTTTATATCAAAAGGATTAGGCTTTGCATCAATAGCAGACCCCTATAGTCTCCCTCGGTTAAGTTGTCTTTGAGTTTTCTGACTTAATTTGTTTTAGAGTTACAGATAAATCATTTTATATATTGTTACTTGAGTATGACTGGTATTTCCTCATGATCAGAAGCAGATTATGCATTTTTTTCTCATTGCATCCTCTCAGGTGATACATGATGTCAGTTTTCCTATCATTAATTGATAATGGCCAAATTTGCCTGGTTTCTCACTAATGTAGTTATTTTCTTATTTGTAATTAATATGTATTTTTTTGGAGATACACTTTGAGATTCCTTAACTAACCTGTATCTCAGTCTCATTCACTAGTTTTGGCATCGGTTGATATTTCTAGTATGAATTATTATTCTAAGTTGATAAAATGTAATTATTCTTATTCCATAACTCTTTGTAATTATTTAACATTGTTCTGAAAAGACTAGCTTTCTCACTTTTCCTTTACTCATTCAGTTATGTGTTTGGACCCATAGATTATTATTTTTTAATCAGTGAGTGACATTATTTATTTTCATGTAAGATTTTTGTGAAATTTTAGCAATTGGGAGACCTGTCCCTTTGACATACCTTAACCACTTTTTGAGAGCATCATACTTTCTGGCTCAGCTTGCCTTGACCCAGTCCTACAGTCAAACATTTCTTCAGAGATCCTTGTGTTTTTTTGGTTTTTTTTGTTTTTTTTTTGGTGTTGTCAAAATTGAAATTTAGAAACTAAGATCTGATTGCTAGGTGTGCTTTTTGCTACTGGAGTGTCGCAGGCCTCTCAATGGACTTAGGAAATATATACACATATGTGAATATATACAAAAACTTAATATTTTGATTTGTTTCTGCATCTGTATATATTGAAACTATGGACTGATACTATTAGCTCTGATTCAAATCCAATACTGTTGGCTTCATTCCAGTTTTACTCTGTCCATATTTATGCCTTTCTTCTCTGTCTAGGAGAAACCTGGCTTCCATTATCTCTAATATGTTTACCTATTTTCTCAGTCCCCTTTGTGTAGCAAATTTCCTGTCCTACAGGGCCACCATTAATGTCTGCTCCTGCCTACCTAATGGATGTTAGGCTCTGGAGGAAACAAAAAGCAGTGGGAGAGAGGAAATGATAGTTATTTTTGTACCTTCTATTAATAATATTCTGTGATCTGTGTGTTTCCTTGACCTTATAATATGAGGAGGTATCTGGAATATCATATATTAACACGTATAAATCTTAAGTATTCTCTCTAATAAATCCTATTTCATGTGTACTTTACATTTTTTCATATTTCTATATTGAGTGTCTATTTAATTTGTTTTTCTACTTTCACATTTACAAATAATTATGCATTGTCTTCATACATATACATGAAATTTTGTCAGTAAGGTATACAACTGCTAGATTAAAATGTATTTGTGTGTCTTATGTCTAAACCTATCCTTTTTGAGAGTGTAAATGACACACACACATATATGTGTGTGTGTGTGTGTGTGTATATATATATATATAAAATTTTCATCTGAAAAATGATAGAGAAATCATGATCTAGATGAGAACAAAATGATTATTACAAATAGTTCTGAGTGTGTGACTGATTTAGAGATGTTATGTGCATGTGAATAAGAGTTGCCTAGATTATTATGGTAGCAATATTTCATAATTTTTTCATAGAGCATTTTGTTATTCTCACTATTGTTGGTTAAAACTCATAGGATATAATATTTTTGTTTTATTTTGTAGGATATCCAAATGTGAAACATTTTTCTTGGGATAAATATTTAGAAGAAACAAATTCTTTACCAGCTCCTGCAAGAGCTTTCAAAGTGGTGAGATGATGTGTTTTGCACTATATTTGTTTAATTTGTGTTGATGATATTATTTAGTCACTGAAATTTAAGAACAAAAAGAGGATGTCCTGGTAAACATTTGAGAAGAAAATAAAAGGATAAGTGAGATATTTTTAAAATTTAAAGATTTTGTAAGTCATAATTGTTACTGGCTTTTTGTTGTTGGTATACACACACACACACACACACACACACACACATACTTCCGTTTTACAGAAAAGGGCCCGGAAGCTTACAAAACATAAGCTTTGCATAGTCCTGCACCGTGCCCAGCTATCCCCTCACCTTCGGCTGCCTATAACATATGTCTGTGGGGTTTGAGGTAGAGGTGGCTCTGGGTCCCCCTTTTCCATTTCTGTCCTGTAGGATCTGTTGTATCTTGCTAATATTCTTTCTTTCTCTTTTTGAAGCTCTCTTCTGCTTTTTTCTCTCATTAACACTTCTTAGTCTTGGTGTCTTGTCTCAGCCACTTGAATGTTCTTCCTCCCCCTTTTAAAATTGGATTTTATGCTTATTGAGTTTTGCTGAGCTACCTCCAGCTAAAAATTGTCATCGTCCCTATAGCTAATCAAATAACTAAAATACCTTTGCTTCAGCCTTACGTATTCAGTCCACAGCTAGGCACTCAGACTGTTTCTCTTGCATATGTCCTTGGGATAGTAATTTTTGATAGGAATGGTGCCATCCAGAGCCAGTCTGGGAGCTTGAGAGTTTAAAAAGCTGATTCCCTAAATAGCTCAACTATTTCTTATTTTTTTGTAACATTGAGCCCACCTGCTCTTCCTCTGAATCTCACTTCATGACATTTTTGTTATGGCAGAAACCTCCACATGGATTCCAGAAAAAAATGAAGCTTGAGGTTGTAGACAAAAGAAACCCCATGTTTATTAGAGTAGCAACTGTCGCAGACACGGATGATCACCGAATAAAAGTAAGTACTCTGTGTGCTTTGATTTTGGCTTTTGTTACAAGGTGCCATGCCTGGAAACTTCAGAAAAATACTTGTAAAGTCCTGTATTTAAACAGTAGGAATAGGAATACGCAAAGTCAGTGACTATGCTTCTTGGAAAGTCAGCATTCATCCAAGTTTTTCTCCTTGAATCTACCTCAGACATTTTCTCTTTAATTTTAAGTGACAATTTAAGGTTTTGAGTATTTGGAGAAATGTAGATACAATAAACTAATGTTCTGTTCAAAAGAAAACATATCTTCATTCTTCAATAGTATGTTTTTCTAAAAATAATTAATGTTTCTTGTAAGGTGTGTTAGATGTAGTCTTTTCAGAAGAATATACTGTCTTTGAATACAGGACAAATAAAGATAAATAGCTTGATAAATAAAAATGGAGATTCATAAAAACCTCTTATAAGGCAAGCGAAAATTGGGGAAGGTGGGTTCAGTTTGTTGAGTGTGGTGCAGCGAGTATAGGGTTCCAGGTTAGGGGCACTGTTGAAGGTTTTTATCTGTTTCTGGCTTCAACATTTACTTCCCTTTTCAACCAGAACAGTATTCATTTTCTTCCTTCATGGGATTGTTTGGAATTACTGTTCGGATAATAATAGTTATAACAGCAAGACATTCGTCATACATGGCATTTTACAGGGTAGCAGTGTTCTTGCATTAGTTGACATTTGTAGTAATTGCATCGTGGCGAGATGTGTGCTGTCATCCCTATTTTATTAATGAGTCAGGGACTCAGAAAGATTAAATGAATTACTTTATTCATTACTGGCAGTGGCAGAATTAAGTCTCAGTTCCATGCTATAGGAGCCTTAATCATAAGCTCATTTAAAAAAGAAAATCACATCCTCCACTAACTAATGAGATAACGTATGAGAAAATAAATTTCAAAATAACATGAAAAAAACCAAACCAATGTAAGTGTTTATATAAAATAGAAATTTTAATGTTGAATTGTACTTAAGGTTACATAATCATGTAACATTTGTGAAAATTTTAGAAATAATGTGAGGCCTGTGTTAATCTTTTTCAAGTGCATTTTCTTATCACTTGTGTTTGGTTCTGGTGTAAATCATAAAGTAATCAGAATATTTTAGATGTAGAAGTATTTTTAGAAACAATATAGACCAGCAATAAAAGAAATGTGGAATTAAGCATGATACTATCTTTATAAGTCAGTTTGCATAGAATTGAAAAGTACAACTTAGTTTAGGTGCATGAAAAGTTGTTCTCACATAATGACTGGTAGGAATATAAATATCCCAGCTGTTATGAAGAAAAGTTTTGGCACCAGAATCTTAGAGTATTTTTCATTCTTTAATTCAAGAATTTTAGTCATAGGAATTTATGTTGGGGAATAACCAAAAAAAGTAGGCAACAACACGCTGATTTAACACCAAGGACAACACAGGCACCAATGGCAAGATAAAGTACATCTACATGATGTTAAAATGAAGCATTTCAGATGCATGTTTAATATTGAGAAGTAAAAAGTTCAAGTTTAACATTATGTATAATATTATTTGATTTTTTTCTTTTTATTCTGAAGAACAGTTAGAAACAGTTCTGGAAAAAAACATACTGTAGTAATAACAGTGCTTATCTCAGGGTGCCAAGATTAATAAATCATTAGGTTTCTCTTGTTAATGGTTTCAGGAACATATATTAGTTTCAGAATAAAAAAAATTAGGTTAACTCTTTGATTTTTACATATGAGGAAATTTTGTCCCAGAGACATTCAACACTCTCAAGTAGAGGACTCAGTTAACAGGAGAGGTTTAGGCTAGAATCCAGCCTTTTACTTGAAGCTGAATCCTTCCTCCAAAACAACATCCTTGGCAGTACTTGACACCCCCCAAAAGAACTGGCTGTGAGCTGTACAGTTGATGAAAACCTTTGCATAATTACTGGAATGAATGTCACAGCTGAAGGTGAACACTGTACAAATATCTTGGTATGTATCATCACCTTTAAAGGTCAGTAAACAGGGGCAGTGACTCACTTCCAGATTCACTGGAGGTTGTAAAAATATAAAAGGTTTCAACAGTAGGAGTTTTTCTAATAATATGAGAGGTGATACAACAGGAAAGCTTATTCTTTTTTTGCAAAGGAAGAAAAAGAAGAGGAAAATATATACTTAAGTCATTAGTGTGGTTTATTATTTTAAGTTTCTCAGAGATAAAATCAAGTCTTAAAAATCTCAATGTTTAAGTTAAACAATATATAATATTCCACACTTTGGGCTATTATAATAAAAAGTTTTAAAATCTGATATTTTATCAGACCATCTTGATGAAAAACATTCAGAATGGTGTTTTCCTATCATATGTTTTTGTAACAGAACATAATTCAGTTCTTCTCCATCCATTCCAGTCCCCAGTCTGGCTCCCCAGAGGCAAGAACTTTCAGCACTCTTGGTGGTTGCTTATGATGTTTTATCTACAGTTTTCTAAAATATTATATATCCTGGCATTTCTCAGTTCACCAGTTTTAAGTAAGGCTTCTTCCTGTTATGATAGTTCAGGATTTAGATTTTTTACCACACTTTTTTATTGTGCATTATACTTGTACATATTGATGGGATGTGTTGTTATGTAATCGTACATGAACACATATGACAAAATTATCTGACCAATACCACTCCACAACATTCCCCCTTCCCTTTCTGTCCTCATCCTTTGGTCCCTTTCCTCCACTGATTTCTCTTTGATGTTTAGGAGATCCCACATCTTTGTTTTCCATTTTTGTCTCTAGCTTCCATGTAAGAGCTTTCATCTTCTGAATTTGACTTATTTCACTTAACCTGGTGGTATCTAGTTCCAATTATTTCCTGCAAATGACATAACTACATTTCTCTTTATGGCTGAATAAAACACACACACACACACACACACACACACACACACACACCATTTTCTTTATCCATTCATCCTTTGATGGACAGACACCTAGGCCAGTTCCAAGTTTGGCTATTGTGAGTTGTGCTGCTCTAAACATGGGGATGCACATATCACTGCAGTGTGATTACTTTAATTCTTTAGGATAAATATCCAAGAGTGGTACAGCTGGGTCATATGGTGGTTCCATGCCTAGTCTTTTGAGGAACCTCCATAATGATTTCCATAGCAGTTATACTAATTTATTCTCTCATCAATGGGATTTATACCTTAAGCCATTCTTATTTTCCCTTATTCTTTCAGCAGTACAATATTGGTTTGGTTTTCTTTCCTTTTTCTCCTTCACTCTTCTCATTATGAGTTAGTACTACTGTGCCAAGTAGTCTTTTCTTAAGACTTTTTGTTTTTCTGAGCACCGATAATCTCTTCATAGTTTATTTTATTTTTTAAATTTTCCGCTTCCTCATGAATTTTTTAACAAATGCTCCAGTATTTGTGATTGGAGTCAGAAGCTCAAGTGTGTTTTTCTTTTCTTTCTTTCCTTGAAATCTTTTCCCCACAGCTCAGCAGCTGCCTCTTGAGTGGATATAGTCTAAGCCTGGGACTTCTCTTTGCTGACACACGACTAAGTTGTATTTCATTTTCCTGAAAATCTCAAAGTCTAGTCATGCACTTTGATTCTCTTTGTGTACACTTATCTTGCTGAAGCATGTCTTTTTGTGTCTTCCTAAGAAAAGGGGGTGTAAGAAGCGGATTTTTTGACTCCTTGCATGTCTGAAGATGCCAGCGTGCCAGCTTTGTGTTTGACTCTTACCATGACTAGGCGAGATGTTGTGGGTAAAGAGCTGTTCCCCCTGGGGTGTTAAGAACACAGTTCTACCTTCCTCTCAGACATGGCATTGGGCTTCGGCACACCCAGGCCCATTCTGATTCTGCCTGTTTGGGCGATGTTCCTCTTGACTGGAAGCTCTCAGGTCCGTCTTTGCCTGGCGGATGTTCTGATGCTTTGTGGTAGTGTGCCTTGTTGCAAGGGTCTTCTCCTTTGTCAGGCAGAGTACTTGTGCATTTTCACCATGGAGCTTCATGTCCTTCAGTTTTTGGAAATGTTCTTCTATTGTTGTTTTGATACCTTCCTCTTCTCTCTGTTCTTTCTAGAAGTCCTGCTATTCTGGTACTGCACTGGGTTGACCCTCTTATTTCCTTCTTTCTTCTGCAAGTCTTTCTCTCTCTCTTTATTTTTTTTAATTCTAAGTGCTTATAAATACTGAGCCTATTTTCCAAACCTCCTATTGCATTTTAAATTACACCTGTGGTTTTTAAAAAAAATTTAAGATTTTTTTTTTCTGGTCCTCTTCTTTTTCAAATAGTATCTCTTTTTATATCTTGTCCTAGTATTATTTTTTTAATCTGAGGATACAAGTGATGGTTTTTCTTCTGTTCCTTGCTTATTTCCTGCAAATTTCTTTCTTAATTAGTGTGGTCTCTGCTTTCCTTGGCTCTCCTCAAATGTCTAGTGATCCTTGATTCTGTTCATATTAAGAAAGAGATACCATACGTTGCCTGCTTTCATGGGTAGACTTAGAGTTGCTCCTCCTCTCTGTGGGGTCGTGTTTATGACCTCCCAGTAGTGGTCAGGGCACAGATAGTACTGACACCCCCCCCCCACACACAGTTGTTCCCATATGTATCTACTTGTGGTTAGTTTACTTTATAAACTAGGGACAGCATAAGAGATTATTAACACTACTTGCTAATAAAAATAGAACAGTTTTAAGAAGATCTCACAATAAAAGTTATGTGAATGCGGTTTCTCTCTCTCCCCTTCTCTTTTTAAAAATATTGAATTTACCATGTAATATTTTTGACCACTGTACCTAAGGTAACTGATAAAGGGGAAATCCTGGGTTGACTGGTAGGTTGTGCCATGGCATAGGAAAGCAAAGAGGCAGGCTTCTCCCAGAGAGATCCCCACCTTTGGCATCTGGAGCCTATCGGTTTCTGCTGGTCTGCAGCTGGGGGAAGGCTGAACTTGGCTGCTGCTGGGAGAGACGATCCATGTTGTACTTCATCACATGCCCATGATGGTTTTTCTCTAGAAAGCAAACCTTTGCTCATTTGCAGGGTGGCTGAAAAGGGCCTTGCCAAACTGGGTGGAGTGGAGGAGCAGATATAAAATTCTAAGCAGTCCCATATTCAGAGTGGAAACCAGTCTTGCCCTTTTTGAGACCCTTCTCTTCACCCACCTGTGGTATCCAGCCCACGTCCTCCTTAGCTTCTGCAGGGGAACGGAGTAGCTCTGTTCTGATCCCCTCTGCAGGCACCCGAGTTTCAGTCCTCCACTCCCCTAAGTAATTCAGCACCTCCTTGGCCTGTTTTTTCCTCCCAGAATCATCATTGTCATTTCCCAACTATCAGCTGCTTTCCTTTCTAGTTTGTCCTTGTGGGTTGATGCCTTTTCAAGTATAACTTGAATTTCAGGAGAGACTGGAGGTAAGTTCCTGGGTCTTCAGTGTGTTTACTGAGTTGCCTTCACATGAACAAAAGCTGGTCAAATCTTTTCTTGTTTTTAAAGAAATAGTGTGCTTTCTAAAAACATAACTTTTAATTTTGAAATTGTCACTGTATACAATTTAAAGGGTTTAAATTATACTTCTAGGTGAAAAATGTATCCAGTTTCCTAAACTATGGTTTTAAACAGTTACATTATCTGTTCTGTGCTCTGATCAATAATATTGTTTCCCTTAGAAATATAATAAAATTCAACAGTGTTGCTGAATTGTTTTTAATTCAGGATTGTTACAATAGAATAGTGTCCAAATAATTTTATATTTCTCTTTTGTGTTTGTAAAATTTGTAAATGTGTCATATGATATGTTTATGTGTCTTTCTCTGCTGCCGTTCTTGTTAGGCCTTTGGCTTTATTTCAGGGTAGTACCCAGCAAAAGGAGAATGGTTACTAAACGTTTCTATAACATGATGTTTTTGTTTGTTAAAAAACTGTTAATATGCTACAGACTGAAGTCTTAAAAGTTTTCAAAGATGAAATGAAACTATACAAACTTACCTAATGGTTTTTTAAATTTAGGCTTCTAAAGTTAGAATGTTAAGATTAATACTTATTTTTGTGCATATTTATATAAATCTGATAGTATATTTCTGAATGCATTTGTTCTTGATTTCTAAACTAAATTTTATACATGAAATTTTAGCCTCTAAAAGTCTTCAGATTGTCTACTAGCGTAGTTTGTTGATGGTATTAGATCTATCTTCAGTGTCTAAGGTATATTAATCTTAGATCACCTTTAAATTGCCACACTGAGATGTCAGTTTAGATGAAAACTTGGAAAGGATATGGTATCACTAGATATAATAGCTTCAATATAAACATTATTTGTATTTATACCTGAGGAGAATTAAAAAGAAACCCTTTGATCTGTGATGCTGTTAAGATTTTTGGAGACTATATTGCCATACAGTAATGTCCTACTTAGTATCATTGGGTCTCAATTCTTAATGCACATCAAAGTTACTAAGAAGTTTAGTAAATGACACACAGGTGGACACAACCCAAGCCAGACCTGTGCAGTAAGAACCTCCAGGGTGGGCTCTGCCTTTTTCTCCCTCTTCTCTTTTCCCCCCAGTATTCATAGATAATTCTGGTGTGTATCCAGGGTAGAGAGTCACTTGTCTTGTTGAGGATTGGAGCTCATTTACAAAAGACAGATACTAAATTTTTTGAAATTTTGTTGTTTACAATAAAGGGAGCATGAGTTATGTTAACACTGATTCCTATGTAAAAGAAAGAATCTAGGGATGGCAAGATCAAAATAATTAGAGTTTCATGTCTAGTACAACAAAGATGATCTACTCTGATGAATTGAAAATTAGAATCCTTAAAACTTACTATAATGTCATAAATTATGATTACTCATTTATTGGTAGAATTTTTTTTAAAGAGAGAGAGAGAGAATTTTGATATTTATTTTTTAGTATTTGGCGGACACAAAATCTTTGTTTGTATGTGGTGCTGAGGATCGAACCCGGGCCGCACGCATGCCAGGCAGGCGCACTACCGCTTGAGCCACATCCCCAAGCCTATTGGTAGAATTGATGTTACAAATTTGTGTTTTCAGAAGATTATCATGAGTGTCATTCTTAATGTTATTATTTTTGATCAGAGGAAAGGGTGGTTTTGAGTTAACTAAGAATGCTGTTTATATTCAGTGTATGTGAGTGATGAATTATTTTATTTCTGATTCTTAAGTTCTAGGTCTAGTTTTTCCTCATAACTAGCTATATGACTGTCAGCTAAGTAATTAATCTTTAAGAGTCTCTTTTCCTTGTTAAGATCTTATCTGTGATTTCTTCCAGGCCTGGAATTCTGTGAGGCTTTGAATCTGGTGGGGGTGGGGTGTAGGGGATAATTTAAGCTTGAGAAAGTGGATTCATTGCAGAGGACATTATTTTGAGCCCATAAGTATGTACTTTTAATAATTGCATACTATTTATCCTGTGAACATATCATAATTTATTTTGCTAGTTTCCTGATAGTCGATCGTTGGGTTACTTCTAGTTGTTTTCTATTACAAATTGTTTTGTTGAGATGATCAAGTCAATGATGATGTATTTTTGTTGATTGTTTTTGCCAAATATCTCTCAAGAAGTGTCTCACCAGTTAACACTCCTATCAGCAGTCTATGGGAGTGCCCGTTTATTCTCATAGTTAACCAGCAATAGGAGTCACCAAAATGTGAGCATTTTTAGTTTTGGCAAGCTGGTGAAGCATTGCATCTTGTGGCTTTGATTTGTAGGGTTTTTTTTTAGTTTTAAGTGAAATTGTTTCTTCATTTGTTTACCAACCACTTATATTTATTTTCTTGATAATGAGCTGTTTCTGTCTATCATATTTCTGTTGGGAGTTTTAATTTTTTATATTGATATATGTTTTAATAAAGATTAAGGAAGAAGGTACTTGATCACCTGGGTAATTTGTGTGTTTTTCAAGTTTCTTGTGGGTCTTCCGTCTTGTTGTGGTTGTATTTGCCACTCTGAAGCTTTACATCTCTTACGTAGTCAGATTGATCAGTCTTTATTTTTTAATGGGTTTGAGTTTGGTGACTTGTCATGATTACAAGTAAATTCACTCATGCAATCTTCTACAATATTTGTTGTTCAGCTTTTAATATTTGAATTTTTAATCCATTTGGCATATATTGCCTTAGAAGAAGTTAGAGATCTGTAGACTTTAAAAAAGAAATCACTGAGGGGGGAAAAGGTAAAATATATAAGGCATTTCAGTATTTTCTCTCATTTTAAAAGATCAAAAAAATATATGCTACCTAAAAGATGTAACTCATTCCTAGTGACATTGACTGAAAGGTCAGCTGCCCTTTTACATGGTGACCAATAAAGTTGACAACACTGACCTCTTTGTATCTTTGAGAGATATTGTATTGATTTACAAGGGAAAAAAAGATATTTAAAAATGCATTTACTGGAGAGGTATTTTGTATATATTTGGATATATTTGCAGGAGGGCATTGAATTCTTTTGTAAAATCCTTAGTTAACATCTACTTGGAAGGTCTTCCTCTACACTCTTCCTTTCTGTCTCCCCTTGTTTTTTTACCTGTTTTTTTTTTTTTTTAGTTGTTTCAGCAATATTTATTGGGTGTTCAATGTGGATCACAGGAAAATACTGTAATACTTGGTGTACTCACGTTACTTATAATGTTGAAAGATATGCATAGTACACCTGTAGAACTGATGTTCAGAAGCCTTTGGTATTTTTTGCTTAGATACTATGTTGAAGGTATTTAAAGGGCCTTTGGTCTCATGGTATGAATTTGTAAGTTAGGAGAGTGTATATAAAGTTATGCTATGGGCAGAACTTCTACCATAGGAATTTTTGTGACCATTAATGTCCTGTTCTGTTCTATAGGTTCACTTTGATGGCTGGAATGGATGCTATGACTACTGGATAGATGCAGATTCTCCTGACATTCACCCTGTAGGCTGGTGTTCCAAAACTGGACATGCTCTTCAGCCTCCCTTGAGTAAGAGACACAGGATAACTTGAACAAATATTTCCATTTGTTTTTGTAGCAAGCGTAACGTAATTTTTTAAAATCCCTTTCCCCTTCTCTTTTTATCTCTACTGAATATTTCTATACTATATAATCCTTTTTTATTAGATTTTTAATTATCATAGTCACAAAAACATAAAGGGAAAAAAAATAGTGCCTGGAAAAGTATATAGATATTCCTTTAATTTTATTAAAAAATAAGCATTGCTTTCTAAAATTAGTGCTTTGTGAGGCAACTCATACCTGTAATCCTCATGAGTTGGGAAGTTGAGACAGGAGAATCTCAGTTCAGAGCCAGCCTCAGCAACTTTCTGAGACCCTATCTCAAAATCAGAAGAGCTAGGGGTGTACCTTGGTGACGGAGCGCCCCTAGGTTCAATACCTAGTACTGCCCAAAATAAACAAACAAAAAACCCTACAACAACACAACAAAATATATACAATGCAGTACACACACACACACACACACACACACACACACAACATACTACTTTTTGAAAGACAGTGTGTCAGAGTATCTAAATTTAATGTACAACCCTAATGTAGACCTTATAAGTTTTGCAAAATGTTACCAAAAGAAACTGGGCAGCGTAAATGAGATCTTCCTCTGTATTATTACTTACGACTACATGGGAATCTACATTTATGTCAGTGAACATTTCAGTTTAATTCAGTTTTTAAAAACAGATGAACAGAGTATTTAACATATCATGGTCTCAGTTTTGGAGGAGGATAAATAACTTTTAGGAAAAAACATAGGAAATATGATATACTATAGTCAGGTTTTTAAAAAATATCAATGTTCTTTATTTAGTTTACTTTTGGTTATTGCTTATAAACTGCTTATGGGCACAACAACACAGGTACATGTATTCATTGCAGCAAGTCTAAAATAACAAAACTTGGAAATATTGTTTAAATAAATTGTGATGTACCATACTACAGACACTGTACAGAATTCATGAAGAAAGTTAATATTGCCACAGGAAGATTTATAAGACAAGTTAAAAACCAAAGGAGAGTGTTTCTGAGCAGTACACATCTGTATTATACCTTTTATATGGCAAAACAAAACCAGAAACTTGATACATGTGCATATACACATATAGATTGAATCTGAATGTTTAGAGGCACATTAGGGAGGGTAAAGCTTCCCCTATGTGGCCCAGATGAAAGGTCAGAATACAGAGAAGAGCCAGAAAGGGGGTTTGTAATCCTTATCCTGTATTGTTACATAGTGTTTGAAGTTTTCCCAGTGTGTGAGTATAGGTAAATTATATTATCTACTTGATAAATATTGCTTAAAATTTTCTCATTAAGATTTATCTTATGTAATTGATGGAATTCTGAGAGAGATCAGAGTTTACCATTTCACTATTGAAGAAAGAAAGATAAATCATGTGGACTAAAGGCAAATTGCAAACTCATGTTATTTGAATCACCTGTAAGTTATTTCTTATTTATCCACTTCTATAAGTTTGTATAGGTTGTGAATGAAGTCAATGAGAAAACTCCATAAAAATAGAGATTTTTAATATGGTTTTAACTTTTATAGAATCTGCTTGTTTTTCTGTTTTGTATATGTTGATTCAAAAATTGAATTTTTAAGGACTTTTTTCTTCCCCTTTTCTGATCCTAAACATTTAATTCTTACCGATGTCTGCTTAACATTTTGTCCCACTTTCTTTTTCTATTAATTTTATTTTAAGGCCCATTAGAGTTAATGGAAGCTTCAGAACATGGTGGATGCTCAACCCCAGGATGTAAAGGGATTGGCCATTTTAAGAGAGCCAGACACCTGGGCCCTCACAGGTAAGTGCTCAGCATACACTATGCTCATGTGACACTTATTTTCTTTCTCTCTCTCTCTCTCTCTCTCTCTCTCTCTCTCTCTCTCTCTCTCTAGTTGTAGGTGGACATAATACCTTTATTTTTGTTAATTTATTTTATTTACTTATTTTTCTGCGGTGCTAAGGATTGAACCCAGTGCCTCACATA